GGTATTCTTATAAGTCATAAGATTATCTAAAAACTCAGTAAGTGCCTTGGAGTCATCTCGAAGTTGGCTGCCATTACCTTTGACAGCTTCGTATACGTTCCTTGCATACGACTAGCAAGCACATTGGCCTCCTTTGAAAAGGCACTTAATGACACACTAAGTGAGTTTGTAATTGATACCAATGGTAATTCCCATGTAAGAGTTTCAGAAATCATAGGCCCATTTAATGTATGAACTCAGAGACTACACCTGTTGTTTGTTTTGTCTCTATTTATAATTCCAGACAAAAAAGCAGCAGTCATGACAATAACACCCATTCAACCAAGAGTCGATCAAACTATGTCTACCTGATACAAAGGGCGAACCATAATCAACATACGAATGAAATATGAGAAAACAAGGTAGAAACTTACCGCAACACCACATGAAAAGATAAAAGTTACTTGGATATCATTTATAATCCACCAACTGGTCTCCTACCCAGAAAGAATGCGGCGATGTTTTATCCAAAAAGGCGAGGAAATACATAAACCCACAGCAGCTGTTGTTAACACTCAGTGGGGGTAGGAGCCAACAAAGTAATCCTTTCAAAGCACATGTATACTTCAAATGGGCACGGAGACTTTGTAGAATACGTCATAATCCAAATCACTGCCTCTACAGCGCCAATAAACCTGGATATCTATGATATAACGAAAACATGCTGAAAGCTGCATCTCAGATCAAGTTGACTCATTCCATGGTAATGATCTCCTCCTGCGTGCCTTATTCGACATATTGAATGGAATGGTTCGCAGTTATTCTGGTACTAGATCGAAAAGAATAAAAAATTCACCGGTTGCTGAATCAAAAGTACTTCTCTGCATGTTTAACTGTATTCTAACTGCTATGATTAATTCCAAACCATTTATCCCATAATCACTCAAATCCCAGGAACGATCCAATTCTACCATTTAAAGAAGCTGGCGGACACGATGTAAATGAGTATTCATGATCTGAAATGAAGAAGCAACTGGTTTTCAACAGTTTTCAACATTTTACTCAACTTACGAGTACAGTCCGCCATGCAGACACAAATGGCGCAAATGGAGAATTCTGGAATCGACCTCGGCACCATTTGATGCAGTAAAACAACCCGACATGACCTTATCTAGTTTTCGCCTCCACGATCAAATTTCTTTCCTGTTATGAAACTACGATAAGACTGCTGAAAAATGGAATAAATATATCACTGATCTCAACATAATACATCAATAAACTTTAAGCCAAGGGTGCTGTTCACAATAAAGTTATATAGGAGAATTGACTTCAAGCTTTATTTTTCCCAGATATTTGTATTACATTCATGTGATGTCTGGGTATTTTGTTAATGCGAAGACAATATTTCTATATCTCTTTATTTGCTACACAAACAGACTTTATAGCAGACTGTTCCGACTGACCCTAATGTCAGAAAGAACAACCAAACTGTAAGTCCATTATACATCAAATTATGTGTAATTTATATAATAACTTATCCATGCCTGTACAATGGGTATGTTCCTGCATAAACAGGAAGGAATATATTATTATTATTAAAACAATATTTGTGCATGCCTATACAATTGGTGTACCCTACATAGCTAGGGAAAAAAATGTACTTTATTATATTATCTTTACTAAATATGCTTATTAATATTATGTGTAAATTATCGAATTGATGATGCCCGTAAACTGGCGTCCCTCATGTAGAAAATGAGAATATATATTATTATTATCATCGGAGTTCTTCCAAACCCTTGACGTAATATGCTCATAGCCTCAGCGTATCCCTCATTAGGGGGCATTAGCTTACAGCATTGTATAGCTCTTGAAGCATCTCCAGTGCAATATCTCATCAAATACATCAATTTCAATTCATCACTTAATAAAAAACTACTCAGCATGATCTCAAACTCCTTTACAAACTGTAAATAATAGGCCGGGTTTCCATCAAAACACCGTGGTTCAAATTTAGGGAGTTTGATGTTCCTATTATCCCTGAACGGCGAAACAGTAACATCAGCCATATCATGCTTAACATCAGACACATCGTTACAATTAACAGACAAGTCACAATGACTTACTTTCCTGTTTGCATCCAAGACACTCTGTCCCTTCTTTGACCCAGGCATTGTTGAACTTGACCCAATTCCAAAAATGTTCCAGATATCGCTTGTTCAAAGAGGACTTGACCGGCACCAGGAAAAATGAACGGCGACTATCCAAATTTTCACCAACTGTTTGAATCCGCCAGATCTGTTTCTACCATCAGAAACTGTCAATCACGTCTCATAAACCGTTAATGCCCAGCTCTTGCTACGCTCGGGCCCACGCTGTTCCTTGCAGTTTTTCAGAAACGCTTAATAGTAACGGACGCGAAAACCAAAACACCGATTGGCCGCTTGGGAATTCTTTATTGTTACACCAACATATAAAAAATATTTCTATTAAGATCTGTAAACAAATATTACAATAATAAATCACGAGATTACTTCTGATGGTTTGCTACTGACTTCTTTCTGAACAGCGACCGATGAGACGATGACTGTCGTATTGATGCCTCCGCGAAAATTGGGGAAGTTGATTTTGAGCAAACAACCAAGAATTGATCGTTCAATCTTCAACTACATTGACAGGGGGCGTGGCTAGTGTAGTCCTACCTCAGAGATTGTCGAGAGCAATAAAACGGACTTACACTGCCCCCACCCTCTGTTTGTCATTTTCCAGCCGACGAATTTTGATTGCTCAAGTGGAAGATAGGTTACCTAGTTGTGCCACTTCCACGTGTGTCTATAAGTTTAGTTGCTCCTGTGGAGGAAGGTATATAGGCCGAACAACTAGACAGCTTAACAAACGCATTAATGAGCATCTTCCTCCATGGTTCGGAAAAGGTCAAATAAAATCCATACGAAGTTCTATTTTGGCTCATTTGATTGATAGTGGTCACCACGCGGACAAAAATAGTTCCTTCAAAGTTATTTACCGCATTCCATGGAGTCTTTCGAACGGAATCAGAATCCGTCTTTTACACTTAACCGAAGCTATGGGAATTCGAGAGAACAATTCTGGTCTTTGTATACAAAAGTAATTTGTTCTACCTTTGTCTCTCGCTTGGCCTCGGTGAATTCTATTCAAAATCCTCCCACCCTTTCTTATCATCCCTCTCCTTCGTACTTTTATGATATTTATTTAAACTGTGATTATCGTTCCACTTGATTTGGCCTAATTTATTTATTTATTGAATTGTCTACATATATGCATATACTAACTTTGTTATTCTTATCACCCATATAAGCCTTACTATCAATATTTTTTTAGTATTATAATCGTCGTTATTAGCCGTTCAAAACACTTACCACATTATTTTTATTATTATTATTTGATCCACAAAATCACTGTAAGTGGTTACAATTTTATATATAAGCCTATGTAAATTAGAGTAAAGCCTGAAGATCTAATTGAAAACAATATTGTTCGCTTATATATCTTTTTCTAACGCGGAGAATTAACGCGGCGGATGTAGCGAAGTCATATGCGGTCACACGCTGTACAAAAAATAGGTGTGCTCAGTACTGAGCTCTTTCTAAGGCTGTACAAAACATACGTCAGACCACACCTCGAGGTGCATAATGTTATCGCGCCTCAACTGGTTAGAAGAGACGCCAAACTTCTGGAAATAGTCCAAAGTCCGGCGACAAAAGGAGTGATTGGTCTCCAAAGCAAACCGTATGATGGACGGCTAAGTAAATCAAGTCATTTCACACGTGGCTATCGTCGGCTTGAGGGGGAATTAATCACTGACTTTAGGATTACAGATGACCAGAAGCACACAAACAAAGGTATTCTGCCATTAAGTACATATGGGCTTCCTCGTGGCGACCCATGAAGGATGGCTAACCTTAACGAAAAGATTCGTTTGTGCCACCATTCATTTTACTTCGGGTTTGCTGATCCTGGAACTCCCTACCGACGTATGTGGCATTGCATTTTCAGTGGACGGCCTTAAGCAGAGGTCTGACAATCACGCAGCGGCACAAGGAATGCGTCCAAATAGCCTATCCCCACTAAAACTAACACACTATTTGTGGGTTTAGAGGCAAACACGTCCTTTTACTTCCTCACTTTCTGCCTTGTCTTACACCACTGACTACTCTAGCTATTAATCCCGTTACACTGTTATTATTATTGACGTATATATATATATACAGTATTCTTCAAACTTAATCAGCTGACTGTTGTTACGCTTTCCTATTTCCGTTTCTGCCTCTTAGTCTGAATAGCTTCACTAATTATATCTATTATTATTATTACTACTATCTCTTTTCTCTTGTCGACGATACCGAAGGACTAACTGGCGAAAGGATCAACTCCAATCACAGTAGTAACAGTCTTAACATACCTCATACTACAAACCACATATAATTAATCCCAGAACTACTACTCCCTTTGGAGTCAACCAAAGCTACGACAGTCGAGTGGCGGGACAAGCTACGCAGAAGCTTACCGAAGATCAGGAACCTATACCTTACAATCAAGAAGCGATCACAAAGAAATCAAAATGGTTTATTCTAGCTCGTAAAAACGATATTGGATATTGGATATACTTTATGCATATGCCAACTTCAAATTCCATTAGCTGTCCTTTTTGACGCTTTCTTTCTTTTGTAATATACATAACCTAAACTAATTATATCTATTATTCCTTTTTCTGGATGAAACCAGAAAGCTAACAAGTGAATGGATCAACTCTGTTCACAGTGGCAACTCGGTCTTAACACATCTCATACTGCAAAACCACATGTAATTAATCCCGCACCACTGCCTTTTGAGTCAACCAAAGTTACGACAGTCATGTGGTGGGAAAGAAGACCAGCAGCCTATACCCCGAAACCAGGAAATGGACATAAAAATAGTATTGGTTTTAACCAACCTCTAAAAGACGATATTGGTTTTTGTTTAAACTTTCTACCATTGTTTACCTTCTGGGTTGTGCACATTTATAAATATTTTGTGGGAAATGACTAAAGACTACAAGTTGACGCAGATGTACATGCCTTTCTATGCGGCATGTACATCTGCCACTTTAGGATTTTTGTTCTTCTTTTTATCGTTTTCAAGTCCTTATTGGTTACAGTCATTTGATCGAGTACACAGTTCTTTCCTCCATATGGGGATATGGTCGGTGTGTTTTGATAAATTTGTGCATCCGCAAGTACTGCTCTTGTTACTTATTCCAATGTGATTGGATTTAGGATTACCATGCTAACGTACTGACGGGATGCTTTTGGGTTTATGACCGGTTCTTTTTCAAAATCGGTATTTGGCAATGGCTTAACCCCTATTGGCTGATTGGCGTTCAGGTTTTAATGACGATAGCATTTACAACGAAGTGTTGTGTTATACTGATTCTTGTTTTGTACCACCTTCTGTTTGGTCATCCAGCTGCTGAATCAACTATGGCACTTGTAGGTGAGGTAAGCATTTATTTAGTTATATATTTCCTGTTTATTTAGTCCAAAGAAGTAATATGTTTGTAGACGGTTGCACCCTTTTAAATGCACTTTAGGGTTATTTTTAGTTCCAATGTAATTTGTCTGTTATTTGTTACCGATATCGGTTATATATATATATATATATATATATATATATATATATATATATATATATCATGTTAGCTGTTCAGACAGGTGGCGATATACGGAAGAGGTGGTAGGGCCTTTTGGGAATATTTTTTCCCCAATTTAATATGCTTAATTCTTGCAGTTAGTGTTCCGTTAGTGCCAAAGTTAAAGTAATCAATGCATTTTAACTACCGTCTAACGTATGTGCCCAACGAGTGATATAAATAAGTTTAAAAGCTTTATATTGATATCCCATCGCTTTAGGTACTATCATTAGATCATATCACTACATCTTTAAAACTATGGGACCTTAGTTACCAGAAAAGTCGGTTTTATTTATCACTTAGATTCTGAATCAGGTTTTAGTTGATGTTGGAAAGCTTAACGACTATATTCATACATTTCTAGGACATGTATTTACTTTTCTAATCTCCTCTTCAACCATTCCAATATCCAGTTTCGTTTTTACGAACTAGTATAAACCAATTTGATTTTTTTGGGTTCCATTCTTGATTGTGGGGTAAATTTTCCTGGTCTTCAGCGAAGTTTTGCTTAGTTCGTCCCGCTACTCGACTGCTGTAGCTTTGGTTGATTACCAAAGAAGTGGTGCTGGGACTGATTATATGTTGTTTGTAGTCAACCAGCGGTGAATAAACATTATGTAGGAACTGAATCATACATGTCACAACATCTCTTCACACTAGTCCTTGGTTTAACAAAAAAACAACAGCCAATTTTATCTGCTGCAGTCCATTAGGAAGTACCTAAAAATCTGAACATTTGTCTGTTGCGCATTATTATTATTATGTTCAGAAAAGTGTCATCAATGCTCACTTATTACAATGACCGCTAGTTGTTATGGATGTCAAACTGCGTATTTTTTACCAACATTTTCAAATTAAGTCACGTGATAGTAAATGGTCCCCTCAGTATAGAGTCTTTAGGCATAATCAGATTAAAACGCTGATTAGCAGTTTAATACCTAGAACTTGATGTTTTTGGCTTTATTATCCTATGAAGAAGCTTTTGACATTGTTTATCTGTACAGCCAAATAACAATAAGGCCTCGAACTTTATAAGTAACTTTATTACAAGGTTAATCTATCAGGGAATATAGCTTACATTGAATCAAAGCAATAAAATAGTGGAATAATTAACGTAATGAACTGTTTGACTAGCATTCGGTAACTAATACATGTGTTCTAGGCTCGAGTGAGAAATGCTTACTTTTCTCCGCAATAATTGTTACTTAAAACACTCCCATGTTTTTATTACTTTACCCTCTAATATGTGTATGTAGTGAAGACTTTTTTGTTGCGAAAATCAACAGTTTACAGAACAATTTACAAAATATCTTTCGTTCACTGTTTCATCATTTATTTTCAGGCATTTATTGCTCTTCTTCTAACAATATCTATTCTACTGTTTGGAATCAGTTCTCAAAGTCGAGTATGGATGCCAAGACCAGATCAGTACTTTCTTTCATGGTCATTTGGTTTTATTATATTAGCAGCTATTTGTTCGTATATATCTGCAGGTTTCTTATATTGTGTAAGCTATACAGATAGAGCTGCTCAAGTAAGTGAATATTTTATTGTACGGATGATAGATTTGTAAATAGCTTTTTGCGTGAATTTTATGCATGAACTGTTATCTTAACTGACATTGTAAGATTGAGTTACAAGTGTACTTAATGCTTGTATATGTTCCTTTGTTACTTATGTCATCCGTTTATTTGATTATGAGTGGAACATAAAGTTTCAAGGGGGGATTTCTATTGCACTCAGTTTTTTGCAGTAACTTTTTGAGCTCACAGACTCAGATGATAAGGATAGAAGGCTCTTGTGTCTCCTGGGTTAATCCTTGCAAAATATGTCTCTGCAGAGATCTAACTTCTCTTTGAAAGCGTTCACCAATGGAGCTGACACTACTAAATCAGGTAAGGAGTTGCAGTCGTTGACCACTCTGTGGGAGAATCTGAATTCTGCACGTATTTTAATCATCCTCGGTTTGAGCATCTTTTTACGGTGACCCGGTAAATGTATCCTAGAAGGGGAGAAAAGGTTAGAAAGGTCAGTTCCTAAATCACCCTCAAGTATACGGTATGCTGAATTCTTTCGGTATGATAACGGGAAGAGATTTAAATGCTACATCCTCTTATCATACGGAAGGTGTGAGATACCACTAACTAATTTCATTCCTGCTCTCTGTACTCTTTCTATGATATGTGCCTCCTTTTTGAAGCATGGACTCACCGCTTGTATGCAGTATTCTAGATGAGGCCTGATATATGTTGCGTAGAGCATTTGAAACATGCCGTTGTCTAATCTTTTGAAAGCCCTTCGAATTGTCCATAGCATTTGAAAAGCCTTAACTCCGGCTGCATTGCAATTTGCAGTTGTTTTCAAATCATTGCTGACAATGATTCCTAGGTCATTCTATCCTTTAACATTAGGTAGTTCTGTGTCCCGTAGGGAGTACGATGTATAAGACTTCTGACCTAAGTGTATTTCCGCGCTCTTCCTAGAATTCATTTTCAAACTCCACAAGTTAGACCTTTCAGCTAATTTATCTAGATCAGTTTGTAGGGCCGACCTATCCTCGTTATTATTTACAGTTTTCTAGATCTTAATTTCGTCGCTGTCGCCTAAAAGCTTTCATTCGCCTACCATACAATCGACTGCATATTACCATCGGATACCTTACTTCTCGTTTCCTTCTCGGCTTCCATGCAAGAATCTGGCGTTTGGTATTACATGCTTCACATTGAACTTTCATTGCCAATTTACTGCACCGTCATGATTCACAGACTAAGTCAACCAACTTAAGGGGGGTGGTGAGACATAGACAATCCTTTTAAAGCCTGCCTCTCGTCTGAAACCCATAACGAATAACTGTTTTACATCACACTAGAGCTTAAAGTTGTTAAAGTCAGCCATATAAGTCAAAAGTCAATAATAATAATAATAGTGATATAACAGTTTAAAAGTGAATGCAAATAAAAATTCTGTATAAATATTAGAGGTCAATTTGACAACCGTTCTCATAGTAACTACTCAGAATAACTGCCTTTAAAGACTTTAACAACGAAGTTGGAAATCGCTGATTTTTAGAAATGAGCTTTCTATCTTCACTGTTTTTCATTCATTTGCATCTTTTCTCCAATAAGATAATATTGAAGAATGATAAATTACTCTGATAATATCAGAGTTCTGGGTTCGACCCCCGCCTCTGGCGTGGATGTGAGCGTCTACTCACCATCAACGTTTTGTACGTCTACGAGTCAGGATTGAACTCTCGTCTGACATACTTCTCAGCCTCACTTAGTGTACTAGACGATAGTAGACCTCTAGAAAAAGGGTAGGTTTGGTGTGAGGCTAGCGTCATCCCTGCACAGGAAATAACACCTTGGCTACTGGAACTTCAGGCCTAAAGAAATGAAAAAAATACAATTTCTGGAATATTATATCTGCTCAGTATTTGTACCCACAGTAGATTTTAATGAAACAGTAGTAATATACCCCCTAATGGTCAGTTAATGTTTCTGGCTGGACATGCTTCATGAGCCTTGATAATTTGGTGGTAATGGCTTTGACCACCCCAACAGTTATCGCAGTTTGGGACCTCTTACTGGGCATTAGTTCCTCTGAAGTTTCCGATGCGCCTCGTTGATAACAAGTGCTAATAGGTATAAAACCTGCACAGCGCTTCCCACCATTTGCCCCTAATCACTTAAAAATCAATATATTAACTATTTAAGAACACTATAAGGTGAAATGTCATACTGGCGAGGACAGGATCCATTCAGTTTTCTATACACAATCTATAATATGACAATCTATGTTTGTTAATTGTCTTGAAGTTATAACCATTTTCCTCTCAGGGTAAATTTGTTGCATAGAGGCAAGTGGTGAAACTCAATGATAACGTTTTGGGCAAAATATATCGCTGCCCATAATCAAATCAAGGCGCTTAAAGACACCGCTTGCAAACTTCATTTATGTAGTTCCTTGAGTACTTGTCTTCTGGTTTTATTGGTAGTTATATTTTCTGTATCTCTGATGTTAGTGCTGCGTCATTCTTGTCTCACGTTCCAGGCGTGGATTCTATAAACAAAGAATAGTAATCAACCTCTTTCTCTGCCTACCTACATTTCCTTTTAGAATTGCAACCATGTCTTACTGTATTATGTGACTGTGTATAAGGCTATGTATGGGATTACTGGCCTTAGCATAAGTAAGAAAGAATTTAAGGCGTCTATAGTTTTACCATATAAGGAAGAGACATTTAAAACCCTGCTTAGGAGATTCCTAATATATGTGTAGAACCTGGGCATTGTGGTAGTAATTAATTCCATATTAGTTTGTCTATTAGATGTATCACACAGTCACAGAAACAGTATTATTATTTACTGGATGACAATGTTTCAAACACAATTCATCACTGTTCATGATTACAAAATCAATTATAATCACACGACTTCGAAACTTGAGTTTTATAGCTTTCTTTGTTCTCTCCTATTTGTCGTCGTTGGAGAAGTAGAATTTTCCCGGTGTCCAGCTGGACAGGTGTTGAATCATTCCTATTACAAGTATTCACCTTAGGTGATTCAATAAACAAAGCGTGTGTTATCAATCTCTCCCTCCAACCTGTTACATTAGATCTTAAAACTGTCATTTTATCCCACCATCCTGTTGTACGGTTTTGCGTAATTGCATGTTGTGTAGTGCTATAGCTGAACTAACTATTCTCTAGATTTCTTATCTTATTCAGGTCAAATAATCTAGATTTTGCTAGGTCTGACAAGTTTGGTTAGTATGATTTCCCCTGTTCTACTAGTTTGACCTATGTATTCGACCTGACAATCATTGCAGGCAGGGTATTAGATAAACTAAATTGTTTTGTTTTAAAGGCTCCACAGGACTAATCCTTTGACCGACAAATATTGTTTCTAATTGAGTGTGTGGGTTTTAATGCCAGCCACTTTTATTCCAGCGTTGTTAAGAATTCTGCATAAGGTTTCCGAGGTTCCTTCCTTGTATGAAGTACTACTGATGATTCAGATTCCCTCTTGTTGGTGTTGTCATTATACCGCGCATGTTTGACATGCATGTAGTCATTAATGTTATTATTTTCACTTTCATTAATATTATTATTAATTTTATTTCTACATATACCTACATACTAATTACCCTGCTTGAATGATTGTCAGGTCGAATACATAGGTCAAACTAGTAGAACAGGGGAAATCATACTAACCAAACTTGTCAGACCTAGCAAAATCTAGATTATTTGACCTGAATAAGATAAGAAATCTAGAGAATAGTTAGTTCAGCTATAGCACTACACAACATGCAATTACGCAAAACCGTACAACAGGATGGTGGGATAAAATGACAGTTTTAAGATCTAATGTAACAGGTTGGAGGGAGAGATTGATAACACACGCTTTGTTTATTGAATCACCTAAGGTGAATACTTGTAATAGGAATGATTCAACACCTGTCCAGCTGGACACCTGGAAAATTCTACTTCTCCAACGACGACAAATAGAAGAGAATAAAGAAAACTATAAAACTCAAGTTTCGAAGTCGTATGATTATAATTGATATGATTATGAACAGTAATAAATTCTGTTCGAAGCTGTGTCATCCAGTATGTAATAATACTGTTTCACACTATGTGTGTGATCCAACTAATAAACAAACTAATATAGTCGAAAATGATTGAGAACAAACAACTGTGGCAACGGGAAGTCACACTCTGGACATGATGAGTTGGGCATCGCTTTTAGGTTGACGTAGGGGAGGTCATGTAAGGAAGAGGTGGGATCCTATGAGCAATCATGGAGTCGACTAAAGAAGACCGCAAAAATTTGAATGAAGTGGAGATGTGTTGTTGAAGCCCTATGTTTCACTTGAAACCTAAGGAAGTATTAATTAAAAAAAGTATAAAAATGGTTACACATAATATTGCTGACCTGGAGTTGGTTTAGAAATCTCCCTCTGTGAAATCAATCAACCTGATAATTACTTCTGTAACAACAGAAGACAAGGACCAGACAACAGATCGTTTATTAAGGAAATCAACACATATTTATAGATTTACATTATTATAGATTATTGTAAGCAAACAAACACAGTCTTCTGATTAGTGATTTCTGTCTGAATGCTAATCTTTCATCTCTTTGTGACCGTTTCTTGAAGTTCAGATTATCTATCTGTAAATTTTATCCGCCTACGCGACGTCTGCTGTGATTGGTTGTTGAGTCAGTCTTTGTTCTTGTTTTTTTTTCTCATGACCTAGATTTGCGACATAAACATTGACGTAAATTAGTGTCTATCATCTTTGGTTAGCAGCCAGCTCTCACCACACGTCTACTCACACATTGGGATGTCGCATGACTATATGAGTTTGAACATTGAAAAAAACGGGGTAGACCACATACAAAAGAAAAGTGAAAATTTTATATTTTATTAGTAGTATTATTATTTTGAATGAAATTTTTTTGGTTTTGTTTAGGAAGAAGTTGAAAAATATGAAGCAGTTGAGACAAACTATGGTGTACGAAGTGTATTGTCTGGTCGGATAGGCAGTGGTGGTTTATACAGTGGAGCATTAAGTGCAATAGGCGGTGCTGGAGGTGTAGTCGTCAAAGTTCCATCGACTGGAATTAAACCTGAACAGGTGAGTCACTGTTGCTCTATATCCTGATAATTTTTTTTTATTCAAAGAGAACTAGTAGAAATCAGGAAGTAATTGATACTAGTTTTGTCCTAACTTAAGACTCTTCAACAGTATGCGCCCATGAACTCATTCACATATGGTGGGAGGCAGAATCTTCAAGCGAGCCTGTTGATTTTCTCATTACACCAGGCTGGGTTAGGTAAATTAAGACTGGCAGTCAGTTATCCATGAAGAGATTTCTTATGTACCAGGCTATGAGTCACACTGTCGTGAACCAACACAAGTTATACAATCATTCAAAGTCAAGGAGCACTGGACTCTTCAGCGGTGTTTATTCAGCTGACCTTATAACCTCAAGATTCTTGGTTGTATGCCTTGAATAATCATGAAGGATCACTGGTGAAGAATTCCAAACTAGGACGAAACTTGGTTTTGCATAATTCTTTAAATGATGTTGGCTTATGATGAAATCGAAACTGTAATGTACAAGTATTCGGAAAAATGTTGATTTTCTCTATGCTCATTAGCTTTAGAACTCGACTTTCGGGTAAATCGACCTCAGGTTTGACCCCCGTTTTCACCTAGTTTAATCTTGGCAACAAGTCAATTATTTAATCAAGCTTTATGCAGTAATAAGTATGACTGGTAACCTGATACATGGAATGAAAACCTCACCCAGTAATTTGGAGGCTTACTGGATGTTTAAAAAATTTTTATCCCTACTCACATTGTTATTTCATCATTGGCAGTACGCATCCACTGTACACGGGTTCGAACCCAGGATCTTCCCGTACCATTCAGTCAATGGGATCCAATTTCCCGATGACCAGTGAATTCTAACTTCTACCGATTCATGATTTAACGCGACGCCAACCAATGTCGTCGGTGGGACATCCATCCTGATATTTGACTAGATGGACCTCACTGTGGTCACGACTTCTCACTAGAACTCACTCCAGGAAACTTCGTCCTGTAGGCAAGTCAGTTGACCACACAAAACACTTCTAAAAGCATATATAGCTCTCTCCTACTGTAAATAATGTTCCATAGGTAGATTCGTCATCTTCTTCTAACTTTTCTACCAATGTATAGCGATCAGATTTAGAGAAATATGAGAAAAACCTGTAAATGTTGCAATTTTATGTCTAACTTGTTTATGGCACATTCCAGTAGACTGTAGCCCTGTGTGTTTTATTTACAAGTTACCAATAATATGCTTTCACAGATTGATTCCATAAATTATAAATGATTTAAAATAATCCCAGCGTATCTGTAGGAAAAAAAATCAAAACAAGATTATTTTTCTGAAAGTTTCGCTGTTTAAACCACAGCTTCTTCAGCAGAATTATTATTATACTTACTGTTAACCCATGGAAGTGAATTTCCTTGATGGTCACTTGTCGGCAGAAATTTTTACCAATAGAAAAATGCAAACAGTCAACATATATTATGTAATAACTAATGTCAGATGGGCATATGTTCAATTGGCCTGTTCAGGTTATCCTATAGGAATAATTGCCCCATGTTAACTATGCATTTTCAAATATTGTTTTTTGTAGGGATTTTGTTTGATTGGTTGAGGGATTTCATAATGAGCTGACATCAGTTAGAGAACCATTGAAAATCCAGCCATAGGGAGTACTGGACAGCTGTTTCATCCTAGTTTGGGACTCTTCAATGGTACGGATACATCAAGGTGCAAACCTAGGACCTTCTGGTTACAAGGCGAGCTAGCTCGTAGGCCATTAAGCCACTGGGACCCACCAATCCAATGGCCAGCCCATGAATTCTAACTCCTGCCAGCTTACTCATGACAGCGCGACCACTTCTCAATGTCTTCTTCGATGAGTTGCTGTTTCACCTTCAGTCTGCTGCACCCTAATGGTCACGGCTTCCCACTAGAACCCCAACTCACTGCCTCAATAGAACCAGTCGAATTTCCCATTGATCGATTGTGTTGGAGAGAAGTGCCTGGTCTCCGTTGACATGTCTACTTCAAGTACGGATGCTTAAACGATGTCTACAGTCTAGCCTGATGTTATTTGGTTAATGATGGTGACCAGGGGTTAAATCCAGGAGAAGCTTTTCATTTGGCAACTACTTCGCTACTATGGGGTGCCATTGACAATTATACATCTCATCCAACAGTTATACTACAATGCTGCATGCCAAGTAATCCACAACGGGAAACTTACGGAAGCTTTCGAAGTGAGGACGGGAGTGAGGCTAAGCTGTCTACTATCGCCAGTGATCTTCCTGATTGCAGTAGATTGGATAATGCGACAGACAACGGGCAATGAGGAAACAGGCATAAAATGGACTCACACAAAAAACTTAGAGGATCTGGACTTTGTCGATTTTATATGTCTGATTTCCCACAAACTGGAAGAAAGCAACCAGTTGGCAGAAGAAGCATCAAAGATAGGATATCACTTCAGAAGAGCATAGATAAAACAGAGGTGATGAAGATTCCTGGCCAACAGCAACAACAACAGACAACAATCAGCCAGCATAAATGGGAGGAACCTGAAAGAAACAACCCCCTTTACCTACCTACCTGGGAAGCATGGTTTCAACTACAGGCGGCAGAACTGACGAGGATATCAAAGCCAGAATAAGAAAAGCAAGACAAGCTTTCATTACTCTCAAGTCGGTGTGGAGATCAACAGCACTCAGCATGAAAATGAAAATAAGATCCGGATTTTCAACTCCAATGTGAAGTCAGTCAGTGCTATTTTACGGATGAGAGACTTGGCGCATCATAAAGAGCATCTCAAATAAACTACAAACCTTCATTAACAGTTGTCTTCACTCAATACTCAAGATCAGATGGCCGACCAGAAAAGATCAGCAGCAGGGATCTCTGGGAACGAACAGACCAAACAGGAACCGATTTTGAAACAAATAGGTAGGAAGAAATGGAGATGGATTGGCCCTACGCTGAGGAAACCATCAAGTGACAACACTAGACAAACCATTGCTCGAGTGGAAGCCGAAAGGGAAGCGGCGAGTTGGTTGTCCCACGGTGGGGTGACTTGAAGGAGGTCATGTGAAGAGGAGATGAAAGCATGTGGGCAGACTTGGAGCCAGGTGAAAACATAAGCAGAGAACCGAACGCAGTGGAGACGAGCGGCTGAAGCCCTATGTTCCTCTAGGAATTAAAGGATATAATAATAACAATACTCATGTATATAAATGAAGAAAAAAGTTGTGTGATTGACTTGAAATGATTATGAGCAGTACTAATAAATTGTGCTTGGAAACGTGGTCATCAGTTAGTGTTACTCTACAACACTGTGAGACTTTATCAAAATAAAAACTTATCCATAATAGTCTTTCTTTTCTCAGAAACTGCATTCTTAATGTTCTTAACTCTTTCTTTTAGTAGATTTTCCGTATTTTGAAGAAATTTTCTACTAAGTTTTCACAACATTCTACATTAAATAGTTAAGACAATCAGGTATCAACCGACCTTTAGTTTTGCAATTTTTAAACTCCTGTATTTTACCTATTGTACTCTATTGCTCTCCATTAATCTTTCGAGGGCTTCTCAAAAAAGACTGTATCATCTAACGAAGAGTATTAAATGCTGTGAGTTGGGCTTGTGGTCTGCCACTGCGTGAACTCGCCAATACTATAGTCGAGAGGCATATAAATTCCTGTACGAAATGGGCAAAGGCTATACTGTCAGACCCTCTGCACCCCCTTTATTCACAACTATCCCCTTGTATCTATCTCATCAGGTAGGACGAGAAGTCAATATAAAAAGTTATATGCTCGTACCACTAAGTATAGAAATTCTTTAATACCCTATTTAGCCCGTACTTTATGTGACGAAGACTCTGTTAGACGTGAAACACATGTTACTATGTAATTTGCACAGTGAATCGACCCTTTCATTGTTCATCTTTCTGTATTTTGTGGTGTCACACTTTCTATCGTTTAATCATAACTCTGCTATTTCATTTTAGTTGTTATTACTAATATTACTACAATTTTATACTTTAAGCATATTTTTCTCCGTATTGCATACGCTATGTAGCTGCTATAACAATCGTTTTATTATTATTATTATGTAATGTGTATTTTTAATTTTTTTGTCGTTTTTGAGTAAATTAGATGCAATATTGTACTGAATGCTGAAAATTCCTTGCTGTATCATTAGTACTGTTTTTGGAATAAAGCAAAAATTATTATTATTACATGACATGATAGCGGGATTAGAAGACGGAGATTATCTGAAAAATGTGATATGATGTATTTGCACTATACATTTCGAACAATCTGATCACTCACACATTTACTTGTCAAGTCAATATATATGTGGAAAAGTTGAATTAAGCAAAGTGACAAAAAAAGAATTAAGAATAATTCACACAACAATTTGGTAATCCAATCAAATCAGGACTACCAAGTTTCTGTCCATTACAGTATAAGAGAGGCTTGGTGAAGTGTCTATTTAAGAGGATTCAGCGTATTTACACGGCTGATGTTATAGACAAAGAAAACGAAATATTAATGGATACTCTTGTTGAAAACGGATATCCTTTGAAATTTTTAAACAGGTGTAGAAGTCAACTAGCCTCTAGACCTACAATCCATACCTCCCCTAAGAAAAAGGTTTTTATCAAATTACCATATAACGGGGAAATAAACAGTAGGATTGTGAGACAAAGGTTGAATTCGATCATCCGTAGAACCTACTATGCAGCCCAGCTTGTAATTGTGGAAAAAGCTAAAAATATGCTTCATTGTAAACCCCAAAAGTGCACAAGTGATTATATCACATCCCATACAATTTACTAATTTTCGTGTGTGTGTGTGTGTGTGTGTGTGTGGACATACATACATAGGGAGGAGTAATCGCGCTTTGCACGTGAGGGTGTGAGAGCATATCCCAAAATGGTTAGAAAAACAGATGAATTGTGACAAGCTAATAGATGCAGGTGGCAGACTACCAACTTCGTCTATAGCTAAATATCTAATCGAGATGAACCATAAGATTGATGTCAACTCAGCCCTTAAGGTCATCTACTATAAGAACGGTCAAGGGCGCTTACTGAAATACGCTGAGGCTATAGCTATTCATAAACTTCAGCTCCCTCTATGCATTCCAAAAACATTTTGTTATTACTCTTAACCTACCTTGGTAATCCTTATTTGATTAGATTACCAAACGTTGTGTTAATTATTCTTAATTTCTTTTTCTCTCACTTTGTTTAATTTAACCTTGACAAGTAAATGTGTGAGGGATCAGATTGTTCGAAATGTACAGCGCACAAACATCACATTTTATACAGATAATCTCCGTCTTCATCAAAAGCATGATATGACATAAAAATTCTTCATAAAATTCCAAGTCTATTGAGATAAGTTTCAATTTTCTTTTTACTGTTCCCTGGTTTATTTACATTTATCAATAATATGCGTTCACAGTCTGATTGTATAAATTTATCTTTATTTCCCCCGGTGATCCCCGCCTCCCGTGCACCGTCTACATCTCTCCTAGGTAATAGCCCTGGATTCAGATCTTCGACGTATGGATACAGGACGTGAAAGTGTTAGTCTATTTTCGCCTAGTGTTACATTTGCTCATCAAAATAATCGTTATGGCGGAGAAGTGGGTTCAAGACCTTCTGATGATCAACTGACTGACAATGAATCACGTACACTATCTCCAATTCCAGGAAGTGAACATAGTCAAGAGACACCATTATACGTGAATCAACCTGTAGCAGGAGCGGCTGCAGCAGCCAAGACAACACGATATGTGAACCAACGAGATCTGTCCTCTGGTTCTCCACCGGATAGTCAGTCTTATTCACCTTTAGAAGTGGAACAAGCCGAAGAGAATCAAAGTATGCTATCAGATAATGTTGAAAGTCAACAAGGAGATTATATACCACCACGGCATTCATTACCGCTATCTCAGAGAGGCTATACAACAACGGCAACAAAACCAACCAGTCGTTATTCTCGTTACTAGTTACTTTGAAAGTATCCTCCTATGACCGAATTTGAAATTGTTTCACATAAATTATTTTAAATATTGTATAGTATTTTAATTATTTATACATTCATCATTTTTATTTTAAAATTAAATACTGCGAACAATTTCGAGTATTTTGAGCTTAATTTAAACAGCTATACACTGAGGGGTCGTGATCAGCGAGCTTCTCCAAGTTGAACGATTGTGCTACACATCATGGGTTATTGGGTTGCATCCTAGTCGTTCAATAGTGAACGAGCTTACCGTGTTACCTAAAAGTCCTTGGTTCTGTCTCTGTTGATAGGGTTATCGGTGTGTGCCGATGAAGAGTCCCGAAATAGGATGAAACAACTTTCCAGTTAATTAGTTGTTTAACTTTCAAGTAATATGAAGACTGTTATTTATTCTTACTTCAATTTTGAAACAATTAGTTCCTTTTATGAATTTAGACAAAGTAATAAGATGTGGTATGTCTAAATCGTGTACTTTTGTATTTACGCAACACAATTTGAACAATCTGATCACACACGGACTTGTCATAGGAATATATATGAAATTAATAAAGAGTTAAGAGGTGAGAAAATAGACTACCTAGCTCAAGTTAAAAGGCCGCTATATTGAAGGTCAAAATAACAATGAAGATCAGTCACTAAACCAAATAACAGAGGTAATAGTACCTCTACCCTGGCTAGTATCAAAACAAATTTTACCAAGGAGGGTTTAGTGTGATGACGAATTGTTGCTTTGATTGTATGAAGGTGGTTTAAACTTCCTAATTACTAGGGCTTCCGTGAACTTTAGGATAAACCTCTCCAAACAGGTTTTACAGTAAGGTTAAAAAGACGTGTAAACATCAATTTTATGTCCTGTCTCCATAATATATTTCGCAATGGCGGAGCTAGGTAGTCTGTTCTCACCAATAATGGGTTCCGGGGACCCTATTTGCTTCTGAAACCATTTAGGAATGCGCTCTGAAGGCAGTCCTTACTCGCAGAGATCGATGAGTCCTCAAAATAATATAAAGTAGCCTGATATAGACGTCTAAGTGACAGGTTGTAGAGTGCGTCTTGGTATTCTGACCACTTTACATCTACTAATGAGCCTGTCTGGATAATTATTATCAATCAGAGTTCATGTCAACTGTATTTCTTCCTCATCTAGTGTGTTTTCAGTGCATATTCGTTGGTTTCTACTGAAGAGGTACTTTACTAAGGCTCTTTTGTACCGAACAGGGTAGAACCTGCGATAATTAAGATACTATCAGGTTCAGGTCCAGTGGCCCAAGTGGTCAAGTGGATAACGCCTGTCCGTCGGTGGCACAGGGGTTAGGACGCTCGCCTACCATGCACATGGTCTGGGGTTCGATACCCGGCCTCGCTAAGCCAGAAATAATGCTGGTAAAGAGGAAAGATTGGGGATGGGCCTAGCAACCCCATCTTGTAAAATAAGCATCGCTACAGAAACTTCCAGCCACCAGCTTGAAGCCCTATGTTCCACTGTCAACGTGAAGGAAAAAGCCAAATAAGAGAGGTAATAAATAGAACATCTACCCTCGTAACAACGGGAGACAAGGGCCAGGCAACAGATCGTCTATCAAGGAAATTGATATGTATCCACATGTTGTGTGTGTTTTGTTGTTGACAGTCTATTATATTTTGCTGTGTATATGGATCGATATTTCATTATAACTGACAATATGCTATTGTCTGTCCACTAACTAAATAAACATGTATGACTTTGTTATCACATGACATTACAACCAATCATGGTAAGACGTTATCTTATTGGATCATGTGTATTAGCCATTTTCATATATACTTTGCGTTGTACATTTTATCATTATTCTGGTTCACACACATTCCGTATATCTAAGTACCCTTCCACTCACACACTTGAGTGACATTTATTTTTCCTTGTCTGGAAAATACAAGTATCATCGTAAACCTGGTGGTCTTCTGATTTCCCTCTTTCCGCGTCAGGACTATTAACTACTCGACGAGTACATAACATAATTGGCGACGGAAAAAACTACTGTTAACTCACTTAGCAGCAGTACATAACAGAAATCAACACGTATTTATTTATTTTCATGTACATTATTATGGCTTATTCAAGCCAACAAACACACTCTTCTGATTGGTTGTTTCTCACAGAAAGTTGACCTTGCATCCCTTTGTGACTGTTTGTTGAATGTCAGATGGTCTATATGTTAACTATATCTGCCTACGCAGAGTCTGCTGTGATTGGTTGTTGAATCAGTCTTGTTCATATTTTCTCATGATCAATATTGGGGACATAAACATTGACGTAAATTACTGTCTACCAATTCGGCTAGCAGCTTGCTCTCACCTCACCCTGATTGTTATCAAAACAAAGTTTACTAAAAAAGGTTTAGTGTGATGAAGAATTGTTTTTGAACTCATAAAGGCGGTTTAAAATTCATAATTTCCGGGGCTCCCACAAACTTTATGGTTTACAAACCTCAGAATATGCCCTATACACGTTTTATAGATAGGTTTACAAGACGTGTGAACATCAATTCTATGTCCTCTCTCCTCTGTAATATGTTTTGCGGTAGAGAATCTAGGTCTTCTTTTCTCACCTATAATGGGTTACGGGAATTTTATTTGCTTCTGAAACCATTTAGGAATATGCTGTGAAGCCGGCCCGTACTCGCAGAGATCGATGAGCCCTCCCTATGTATGTGTGACCACAAATACATTCAAATTGGTCAATACAGTGGGATGTGACATCATTTTTCACATGTTCTGAGGGCTTAGATGGATATATTGGTCTTATGTTCGTGATTATTATGGTCTTAGCTGCAAAGAAAGTCTTTCCAACTACAGCCTTCAACCGTTGTCGAGTTACCAAGCTGCTGAGATCACCCATATACAGGGTAGCTTGATATATACGTCTTTCTTATTAGTTGCCGTAGTTAGTTAGAGAGTACGTCTTGGTGTTCTGACTACTTTATGTCACCTGATGAACTTGTCTACCAGAGTTTGGGTCAGTTTTCTTTCCTCCTTATCAAGTGTATCTTCGGTGTATAATCGTTGGTTTATACTGAATAGGCATCTTACTAAAGGCTCTTTTTTACTGAACAGGGTAATACCTGCGGTAATTAAGATACTGTCAGGTTTAGGTAGGCTTTCTATAAATAGATCGTTTTATTGTTTCATCAGGTTGTTCATCGACTAAAGAATATATCAAGGAAAGATAAACAATTATCTTCCCCTTCTACAGGCATAAGTGATATGCTTGCTATTCAGAACTTGATTCATTCGATTTAAAATTGAGGCGGCCGATAAAGGCGCTTATCGCTTATGATTACGATGTCGTGTACATATCTTCTATAAAGCGATGCATTTTCGATTGAGTCTTCCGATAAATTTTCAGCATACGACAAATAGTTTTTTTTTCAAGTATTGGATTTTGTAGGGATTTTGTTTGATTGCATGGAGGATTTCATCATGATCTGGCATCAGTTAGAGAACCATTGGAAAACCTGTCTGTCTGTCTGTCTGTTTTCGACATAGAACTTTGCACAAATGTGCGGAAGTTCAAGTCGCCATACTCCGTGTAGCACGCGAAGCAAGAGAAGAAAGTACAAGAAAAGCATAATAGAAACAGTGAGCATAGGTGTGAGACAAAGGAGTAATAAAGAAAAACAAAACAGTTTCATTAGAGATCATAAGTCACGAGGAGTGGATACATCTGCGCCACTGAGAACGATTTTGAGTCGTCACCAATTGTTTCCAACCATAGATTTTTACCGTCCCGAGGACCCCAGCCTGGAAGTCTACACCTTCCTACGTGGCTTAGACCAACTGTTTTGGATTTCATTGACTGGTGTCAAGTTTTTGTTTGACCGCCGCTAGCTTTTTTGCAGCCTGATCCTATATACTCTCACTGGAAAACCTGGGAGTACTGGACATTCGTTTCGTCGTAGTTTGGGACTCTTCGAGCCCGGTGGGTGTGTACTGATGAAGAGTCCCGAACTAGGACGAAACAGCTGTTCAGTAGTCCCTGTAGGTTTTCCACTGGTTCTCTAACTGATGTCAGCTCATGATGAAATAGGTTTTTGTTAAAAAGGGGCCCCAACGAATTTCCTATAGTGATCCCATTGACCTGATGGAATTCAATTTTGATTGTCCTTCTGACTAACTGGATCACGATTTGTAGTCTCAGTTGACATGTCAGCTTCTAGTATGCCCACTTCACTGAAGTCTGATGATTAACTTGATGGAAATGTTGATCCAGTCTGTTCGGAAATCTTCTGCTTCACTCAGCCAGCATAAGAAACAAGAACAAGTTTCAACCATAATGTTAACTCACTCACTGCTTCTGTATGGGCCAGAAACTTGGCTAGCTCATCTCGTAAAGCGTTTCCAACAGGCTATTTTAGACATTTATCAACAACTGCCTTCTCTGGCTCCATACTGAAGATAAAGTCGCCGGCAACAAAGAATTAGCACGAAGAAACTCTGGAAGCGAACCAACAGATGAGAACTTGTTGCTCCATAAATATTTCGAAGCAGATGAAGATGGACTGGGTGAACAGTGAGAAGACTGTCGAATAACACTGCCATCGTTCAAGTGGAACTCGAGTGGGTGTCCGAGTATGTCATGAAGGAGATGGTGTGAAGAGGAGATGAGGCAATCGTAGGACCATATATTAATATATGTGTGAAACTTGGGCACTGTGGTAGTAAATAATTCCATATTAGGCTGTTTATTAGATGTGTCACACACAGTGCGAAACACTATTATTATTATTTACTGGATGACAATGTTTCGAACACAATTCATCACTGTTCATGATCACAACATCAATTATAATCGCACGATTTCGAAACTTGGGTTTTATAGTTTTATTTGTTTTCTCCTATTTGTCGTCGTTAGGATAGTAGAATTTTCCAAATATCCAGCTGGACAGGTGTTGAATCATTCCTATTACACGTATTCTCCTCGGTTGACTCGATAAACAAAGCTTCTGTTATCAATCTCTCCTTCCACCCTGTTGTTACATTAGATTTTAAAACTGTCATCCTATCCCATCCAGCCTCTTGTATGGTTGTGCGTGACTGCATGTAATCAGTGCTGAAGCTGAACTATTCTCTAGATTTCTTTTCTTATTCGGGTCAAATAATCTAGAATTTGCTAGACTGCCCCTGTTCTACTACTTTGACTTATGTGTTTGACCTGACAATCATTGCAGGCAGGGTATTAGATAAAATAAATTGTTTTGTTTTAAGGGCTCCACAGGATTGATCCTCTAACTGACAAAGCTTGTTTCTAATTGGGTTTATGGATTTGAATGCCAGCCACTTTTATTCCTACTTTGTTAATAATTCTGAATAAGGTTTCCGAGGTTTCTTCTTTGTATGGAAGTATCACGGATGATTTAGGTTCCTTATTATTGGTTGACCTGAATTAGATAAGAAATCTAGAGAATGGTTCAGCTATAGCACTACATGCAATCGCACACAGCCATAAAGTAGGATGATGGCATCAGATGATAGTTGTAAAATCTAATGTAAGAGGATGGGGGCAGGAGAGATTGATAACGGAAGCTTTGTTTATCGAATCAACTGACGAGAATACGTGTAATAGGAATGTTTCAACACCTGTCCCAGATATCTGGGACAAATAGGAGAAGACAAAGAAAACTATAAAACTCAAGTTTCAAGGCCGTGTGACTACAATTGATATGATTAGGAACAGTAAATTTTGTTCGAAACATTGTCATCCAGTAAATAGTAATACTGTTTCGCTCACTGTGTGATACATCTAATAAACAAACTAATATGGACCAACTATAAACCAACTAATATGTAGGACCAGCCAGAGGGACAACAGAGACTACAACAAAATGTAGATGCGCTACTGAAGTCTTATCTTTAACCCGGATCCCAAAGGAACAGTAATACAATAAAAGATTTCTGTCCATTCAGTCAACGAGTGGCATCTCTTGTAGCCAAAACGGTCTAGTTGGTAACGCTTTAGAAATACTTTGAAACGATGGGTGTTGGGTTATTGTCTCACTCACTGACCATGCGATGGTAGGCACATCCAGTTGACATGTTTCAAACGAGACGAAGTGTACATCCTAGATTCCACTGCTAGTCTCCACTTACTAGATAACTTCAAAATGAAGACTACTGTGCTTCTAGTTAGATTCTTTGCTGATAGCATGTATGATATAACACAGATTTTGTGTGTGATTTAACAGTCATTTGGTGGGGTGGAGCCGAATCGCATTTCTTTGCAAAAATTGAGTATATTTTTTGGACACTGATTTCTTGACAGACAGATGAATGGTAGAACAGAGTGACATCAGTTCAAGTTGTCAGACTTGTTTAAAAGACTTTTGCCTCACTTGATTGTGTTTCAAGTGGAATTTAGGGCTCCTGTCTTGAAGTTCCAACAGATTGGACGTTGATTTTACCGAGCCTCACACACAGCCTTTACTCTTTCCCACACTAACTATTAGCTAGTAGACTGAGTAAGACGTAGAAGTTCGTGAGCCAAGACTTGAACTTCGGACCAAGCGCGTCGTTGTTAAGTATTCAACGATTAAACCATCGACACACTAGGAAGGAAAAAGTGGCAAACAAAGTCTGACCTATTGTGAACTGATTTAAAATTAATGAGGTGGCTATCAATCCGTTGACGTCAGCCTAAAACGGCTATTTCATATGGTAGTAAGACAGTCAATCGAACATCTAAGTGTAATCCACCTAATCGTGTACAAGAAATAAATAAGTATGAACAGTGACATGCGCTACTCCTTACACATACCATTTACTAGGTGTATTATTAGATAAAAACAAATTTTGCATAACAACATACACTACTGACTTACTGATATGAGTAGTTGGACTTTACTCATATCAAAAACCTGTAGTGTTTGCTAGCCAGATAGATGACTGTTTCGTTTGCTTTCTAGGTAGAGCTCATCAACTGTGTATCTAGTTTGACTCAGTTCAAATCACTCAGATTCTGGCTAATTACTTTAGCTAACTTCAAACTGTGCAAATCACCGATTCGATTTAAAGGCACATATTCCTGGGTACTTAAGGAAGAGATATCACAGTCATCTATCTATAAGCTCCTAAGCATGGGAATGTTTGTCGATTATGCGGGGTTCTCCGTTTAATTCCAGAGTGATACATGTTTCTGGTTTTTCACTAGCGCAAAACATGAGAATATTGTTCCAGTGACAATTCGCTTTAGGTATCAGTTTAAATCCGCTGGCTCATGATCTCTACACAGCGATAATCTGCAATAAAGCCACATAGGTATCCATTATGGTTGATAAGTGTGCCTTCATCTACCCCATTTCTCACTGACACCCCGAAATATTTATCAAGAAGCTAGACAACAAAGGATGCTAAAAGAGACGTAAACTGTAATTCTACAGATTTGGAAGACATAATAGTGAGGTGCGTCGACCGGGGGATTGAACCTCGGACCATGTGCGTGGCTGGCGAGCATTATACCGCTGTTTTGATAGTTTTGAATGGTTTATTTTTCGCTTACTTTTATGAGGTTCCTATATTTTGTCTAACAAAGGTTGTTGAAGTTATCGTTTTTTCCAGTTTGACTTTTATAACTATTTAAGGTGTGGGAAATAATTCCAAGTGATCAGTTGGTCATAGTGTGGTGAGAGCTAGCCGAATCGGTGGACAGTAATTTACATCAATTTTTATGTCCCCAATATTGATCGTGAGAAAAATGAGAACATAGGCTTTGCGTAGGCGGATACAGTTAACATATACATGATCTGACATTCAAGAAACAGTCACAAAGAGATGCAAGGTTAACTTTCTGTGAGAAACAACCAATCAGAGGACTGTGTCTTTCTGCTAACAATTATCTATCATAATGTACATGAAAATCTATAAATATGTGTTGATTTCCTTAATAAACGATCTGTTGCGTGGCCCTTGTCTTCTATTGTTACATTTGGTGTCGCTGCCTACCGACAAATGGAAAGCCTTTGCCCTTCAGTTTTTGATCGAGACATATGGAACTTCGGGCTGAACTTCGAGGCTTTTGCGTAGTTGAGTAGCGTTCAAGATCTGTCAGCGATGAGGCTGTTACTTGGGAAGCTGCTGGGAGGTCGGGAGAAAGCAGCATATGGAGGTGTGAGGTGAAATACGGTTGAATGTGCGACAGGGTCAGGCAAACAGTTTCCAAAGTGGGAAGGACCACTTATGGTCGCTTTGAGATAGGGTTACGCAGACACAATCGCAATGATAAACAAAGAGAAACAGGTGAACATCAGCGAGCGCCGAGAATCCAGACAACAAGACAAACTTACAAAGCCCCTAGAACCGAGCAGACCAAATCAACTTCAATCGGAAGTCTTTGACAGGGAGACGAGTGTGGTGAGAACTGGCTGTTAGTCACAACTGGTGGACAGTAATTTACATCAATGTTTATGTCCCCAATATTGGTCGTGAGAAAAATGAGAACAAAGACTTTGCGTAGGCGGATACAGTTAACATATACGTGATCTGACATTCAAGAAACAGTCACAAAGAGATGCAAGGTTAACTTTCTGTGGGAAACAACCAATCAGAGGACTGTGTCTTTCTGCTAACAATTATCTATCATAATGTACATGAAAATCTATAAATACCTGTTGATTTCTTTAATAAACGATCTGTTGTCTGGCTAGCCCTTGTCTTCTGTTGTTACATAAGCAGGCATAAATTGTGCTCGAAATAGGGTCTTTAGTAAATATTACTGTATAAGAAACACTGTGAAACTTTACCCACAGCTAATAAATTTGATCGTTTCACAAGTATTCTATGCATTTCTGAAAATCCGCGAAAACACATAAAGAAATAAAGAGAAGGCATTCTCAATGTGTATACATTCTTCATCTATGTATTCGAATATATATGTAAATATGTGTATTTGTACAAATGAAGTCGACAAAGACAGGAAGTTTAAAGGGAGGGACACAGAGGGAGAGTAAATAAATGATTAGACAATAAAGGAACCCAAAAAACAAACAAACCATCAAATAAACGGGAAAAAAAAACATTACACAGTTTCCACTATAATTTTTGATGTGAATTATGCTTTTGTATTTTATTGTTTGATTGTTTTTGTAACCTGTGCAAGTTTTTGTTCATCACATTTTTAATAAATAACCAAAAATTTCACTTCAACGAAGGAATGAGTAGGGAGTACTTCTTTTTGTTTTTTGTGAAATAAACAATATAATTGACAAACGAAAAAAGAAGCAAGAGCGGGAAACAAAAAAAAGAGAACATGGACGACACACACACACACACACTGACACTCTGACACTAAGACTGTCTTCTCATATTACAGAAAGAAAAACAGTTGGCCTTAATATTTATTTATACTCATAACATTGGCAGTAATACTACTAATAATAATAATGGTAATTAATAATAGTATTAATTTGTTTCAACAATACCCTATAAACAATGAGCGAATGAGTAGTTACATATATAAAGGTATATTTTTTGAGTTCAATGTTCAATATTCAATGGTTGGTCTACACGCGCCATTTTTAATTCCTTACTTTTGGCCATTTTTGGCGGTGATCTTAAATGTGTATTTTAAACATAAATTGAGATAATATCACAACGAATGAAGTAATGCTAACCAGTGGATTAGTTAACATTTAAATAACGGGGTGTTTTATTAATAATAGTATTAGTAGTAGTAGTAGTAGTAGTAGTAATATTGATTAATTAATTATTGAATAAAAATTTAAGAATCATTTTTATCTAAAAAATTATCTTTATAATCTGATGATAATGTTGTGTGCGGTGAACTTAACCATTCTTCTAAAGAGACAGTCAGTACTGATTGATGTTGCTTTTCTAGTTCAATTCTTTGCTTATATTGATTAAATTCAATGTCTTTCCGTTGCATTAAACGTCTTCTTGAACCAGCCTATAGAAGAAAAACAAGCGATAACAGGAAGAGTGATATATATATATATATATGTGTGTGTGTGTGTAAAACATGGGCGCTGGGTTAGTAAGTAATTCCATATTAATTTGTTTATTAGATGTATCACATGCAGTGTGAAACAGTATAAACATTTACTGGATGACAGTGTTTCGAACACAATTTATTGCTGTTCATAATCACAGCATCAATTATAATCACACGACTTTGAAACTTGAGTTTTATAGTTTTCTTTGTTCTCGCCTATTTGTCGTATGGGTAGTAGAATTTCGCAGATGTTCAACTGGACAGATGTTGAATCATTCCTGTCATGCATATTCCCCTCAGTTGATTCCATAAACAGAGCCTTGCATACAAAGACTAGGATTGTTCTCTCGAATTGCCATAGCTTCGGCTATATGTAAAAACGGATTCGAATTCCGTTCGAAAGGCACTATGGAATGCAATAGATAACTTTGAAGGCAATACTTTTGTCCACTTGGTGACCGCTGTGCGTCGGTGGCACAGTGGTTAGGACTCTCGCCGACCATGCACATGGTCTAGGGTTCAAACCCGCACCGACGCATACCTGATATCTATGGTCGGCCTGCAAAATTTGGGCTACCGATATCCATGCTGAAAATTCCGTACTTGTACCAAAAATACAGTGTGTGAAATCAAGCTGTAATCAAAAATTAAAAATTAAAAAATTAAATAAGCTAAAATAGAACTTCTCATAGATTTTATTTGACCTTTTCCGAACCATGAGGGAAGGAAGATGCTCATTAATGCTGACAAAATTGCTTGTTAGTTGAAAGTATCCCTAGAGGTTTATAAATATCGCCTTAATTCCATTATGGAGTTATACTCTACCACAGTGCCCAGGTTTTGTACTTACATCAATATCGGTCTGATGTAAGTCGATAAGGACGTCTTTTAACTTCCACCATTGGTTGATATGTCACTGAAGAAGGAAATACCTTTGCTAGAGAACCACTTACAAACCAGCGGGGAGTACTAGACAACCATTGAGTCCTAGCTTGAAACTACTCTTCAGAAGTACTCACCCATCGAAGCTCGAGCCCAGGACATTCCGGTTACAAAACAAAACTTCTAGATCATTCAGCTACTAGGATCCGATCATATGGTCCATGAAATATGACCTCTAACAATTCATTAAATAGATAGTGTAAGCGCCAGGCAACGCAGAAAGCGAGTAATCCATCTCCCAGTGAACTGGATGGACACCAATGGTTACGCATTGTTGAAAATTCCCAAGCTAGGATGAAACAGCTGTGTCCTGTAGTGTCAAGTTTTCCAAATTTTTTTCCTTACTAATGTTCTGCTTTCAAACACTGATTCTGTTGAAATGAATTGGCAATTCTTGAGGGTTAAACACATTGAACGGATACCTAGAACTAACTAATATCTACGAGAGAACCATTGAAAACCAGAGGGTGCTGGACACCTTTCTCATCCTACTTTGGCTATTATCGTCAGTACACACACCCTGGGGTTCAAACCAATTGCCTTTTGGTTACAAGACAAGCTCGTATAGCATTCAGCTACTGGGACCGGACTCCTCAATGGCCAGTGCATGAATTCTAACTTCTACCACCAACCAATGTCATAGGTGGGAAATCCATCCTCACAGTTGACTGGTAGCACGTCACTGGTCACTTCTAAAATCAGGTGATATGTCACTCAAGAAAGAAATACCTTTTATTCGAGAACCATTTGAAAACCTCCATGTGACACTGGGCAACCAGTGAGTCCTAGTTGCGGACTCTTCACAGTACTCACCCACCGACCAGTGAGGTGCAACCAGTCAAGTGTGAGGGTGGATTTTCCACCGATGGTGGTCGCGATAAATCACGAATTGGTAGAAGTTAGAATTCATGCACTGGCCATTGAAGAGTCGGTTGCCAGTGGCTAAATGGCTTACGAGCTTGCCTTGTAACTGGAAGGTCCTGGTTTCGAACGACTCTGTGGTGGGTGAGTACTGCCGATGACTTCCATACTAGGCTGATGAAACAGCTGTTCAGTACTCCAGTACTGGTTTTCAATGGTTCTCTAAATGATAGCAATCCGTGGACAAACTCGTAAAAACAAATTTAACCCTTACAAACCAACTCGAGAAAATAACTAATATCTATAATTGTGTGTATTATTGGATTTAAGAGCCTGAGTCGGCCAAACTCATTGGGTCTCTGTTTTATGCGTTATTTTCTGTAGCTGTATTTGACAGTGATATTTTCACTACGGTTTTTGTTGTTGTTAGTGTTATTCTGATTGCTTTACCTCTAATTTTCCTGGTTCTAAAGGGAGCAACCCAAAAGTCGCTCTTCTCTAACTTACATCTCTATATGACAACTCCCTTCTCAGGCTTGAGACCCACAACGTCACCCTGTAAAGAACACTGCTACATAAAATTCGGTACGATGAGTCTCCTGGTGACGAAAGAAAAAGTATGCAAGGGGATGTGGAACGTCCACAAAGTGTATGAGACTGGCAAAGCTGGCCAGATTGCGAATGAAATGGAGACAGAACAATGTTAACTCGTTAACGAATCTGTAACCAATCAAATCCCTGTTTTTTGTTTTAGGATATTTTCAGGAAAGATCAATAAATGCTTGCCTCCATTAGAAATTTACTGAAAAAACACTTTAGAAATGCAAGAAATACACATAAATTAAATTTACAAAAACAAAATGATCAAAGTTGACCAACTTACATCAAGATAGACAGTTAATCCAAAAAATACTGAACCAAGACAATAACAACTGAGTAGACTGTACATCACATAATGTTCATATTCTAAAAATTTTGGTTTCGAGGCTGAAACAGCACGTGCTATAGCATGCCAAACTGTTAGTATGACAAGCATGAAAAAATTCACTAGAACAACTTTATCCTATAAAATAAACGAACAAAAGCAGGAAATAAAACTAAGCTACTCATAAGTAGGTTAAAAATTTCTGGAGAAAAAAACTACAGATAGCTCTGATAAATGATGATGATTAGTCTGGGAACGGGAAATAAGACACGTTGTGATGAGGATGTGCATTTCGCCATATATGGCACTCGTCAACCTGATTAACCTGTACTCCCGGTGAGTGGTGGTGTTTTCACTGAGAATAAGACCCTTCCCCTTTTGTCTCACTCTCTTGCTGGGTCACTGGTGCCAGGAGAGCCACCTTTTATTAAGGAGGGGTCTGCTACTGAGTCAGTTTGTATTTTCCACCGACTGATTGTGTTGAATTTCAATGATAGGCCCTCTCTGATTTATCGGCTGCTAGTACAGACAATTCGATTGTGTCTAAGGTTTAATATTACACTAATATTATTATTCCGTTGGGTTCCGGGTGAAAATATAAGGTATCAAGAGAGAGTCAGCATATCGTTTACGTCACCAAGAAACGTCGAACTCACTGTTCACCATCATGGTTCTAATCGAGAGACTATCTGGCTTGTAACATCACTGAACGGTCACCTCAGGATGTTTCCTGTCTATCTCCTTTCCCTTTGGCATATTTTCGGACAGCGGGTTCTGGTTTGGTTCTCAGAGTTCCATTCTCCTAATCCTATCCAACCGGCCATCCAACTGTCAGCAGGAAGCCAATGAAGAGGGCAGCCGTTGAGTGAAGTATGCAACAAGCTAATGGAGACGGTTTTCATGACTCATCAAGTTTCTACAACAAATAGAAGGGCTGACTTAACATTTCTATTGTAAATTCAAATCTTGCTCTTTATACTGATATCAGAGTGCTCAGTTTGTGCCGTACCTTTCCGATCGTTGACTTGACATCTTAATCCATTCTAATTGGGATTGAGACGATGCTTCCCAAATAAGTGAAGGGACTTTCCTCAAATTTCTTACGTCGACAGTCAGTTTTCCGTCTAAATACTTTCGAGTTTATGTATTATATTAGGCACAAGGCATCAACGAAGTTCAGGTCTTCTCAAGTCTTCTTATCGTTTCAACGTATTCCTGTCTTCTCATCCTCAAGAGTCAAACGTATTATCTAGTTCAGCATAGTTCTAAGCAATATTGGTGATATTAGGGAATCTTCGCTGATATTTCCATTGTGAGTCACTTGACTTGTAGTACTGTCATGCAACTGTCGAACTAGTTTGATAAAGCTTTGAGGCAGTGTGTGCTTTTTAAGGATTTTCAAAATATCTTCACGGTTAGTGCCGTTGCAAGCCTTATTAAAATTGATAAAGTTTGGGTGAGTGTTTGACTGCCATTCTATGCTCCGTTTAATGACAATACTCTTCATGAATCCAGTCAACATGTTGCACTTAGACGTCTGCATTCAGTGGATCTTTTAGTCTCATCAGAATGCGTCGGTGGCCCAGTGGTTAGGACTCCTACCGACCATGCACATGGTCCGGGGTTCGAGCCCACCCCGACGCACACCTGATATCTATGGTCGGCCTGCGAATTTTGGGCTATCGATATCCACGCTGAAAATTTCATACTTGTACCAAAAATACAGTGTGGAATCAAGCTGTAATAAAAAAAAAATGATACAACACCTAATAGATTGTTTCGCTTGGACAACTGAACGTCTCTTCTCCAGTTCTTTCAAAGTCTTAAGTCGAGTCTTTTTGTTTAGTTTGCCATGGTAGCTTTTCTCCGAACCAGTAGGTACGTTTTCCTACTTCCAAAAATTTCCCAGTAGTGGCATGAGCATATGGACTGAATTCTTTGTTTTCTCTTAACAGTCCTCCAGCTTGAATTCCATCAGGTCGTGCTACCTTTCCGGCCTTCATTAGCTTGATTTGATTCGAAAATTCTTATAAGAATTAGCACTTGATGATAATGACTAGTCATGATTTTTTCAAGCATCATCGAAGCATATCAACAGAAACCGAACATTTCGTTCCAATTAAACGAAAAATGTTAGAAATACATTCGTACTACTTATAAGATTGAAAAGTAGCTAAAGTTTTTCCTGAAATGTTTCCATCAATATTGGATGTTCAAATTGAGCTAGTAATTGGCGACATAAGCTAGAAAAAGGTTGCACAAACCGGAAATGTTCCTGAATAGAATGTTACCAATTGACAGTAATGCACACACCTAATCTGTTTCTCAATCAATGGTGTACAATAGCTGGTTCAAATGAGAGAAGGCAATCACTTGCGCTTTGCAAATTTTACCTCTCTACTTTATATATTTATGTATGGGAATTGGGACAAAATAGATTTCCACAACTGCCTAGTGGTTTCTAGTTGTTCTCCAACTGAAATCAGTTCATAACTAGACTCAAAATTGATCGAATCGCCGTAGGTCAACACTTAGGAAGTAATCTAAGACTCACTGGTGACAGGCTAGAGGATGAAGGCATGAGCAGTGGGGTGTATCAGGTCAGGTTCATGGGATGGTCACTGAGTCTTGTTCCAGTGACTGTATGGTCAATGAGGTGTTCGTGTAACTTGAAGATATTCATTTCGCTCTATGATGTGTTCATGAGTATTTACCAGGGAAGTGTCTCAAAGCTTATGTCTAACGGGAACAAACGCTTTAAACTGTGCCATCGCCAGGCATCTTCTTGACACGGGTCATGAGATGGACGTCAAAAAGTCGTCCTAAATTATCTATAGGCTCAAAAGAGGTCAATTCTCTTCAAGTTTGCCCAAGCAATCTTCATCAAGCGCCTGAAACCCGATTTATGCATTCAGAAAGAAACAGTTGTTAGTTTTTCTTTGACCTGCCTGGTAACTGAATATTTTCATTTCTCTTTCATCTGAATGCATAATGCTGAAAATTTTCCATTGTGTATGATTATTATTATTATTCGGAATAGTGTTTAATATTGCATATATGTTCAAGTGATACAGTCGATGGAGAACTGAAGTGACTCAGACAAGTCCTCGTAGAGAATGGATATCCTCCAAGATTTATCGAGAAAAACATGAAGTTAAGGGAAAAGCCTGAAAGAATCCAGACGGTGCCAAAGAAACTGATATTTATGAGCGTTGAAATTAAAGGTGACACCGCAGCTGAGGTCTTGAAGAATCGGTTATGCAGAATACTGAGGAAGGCCTTCTTTACGGCTGAGCTACGGATCAATATCTACACCCGACACATGATTAATGGATGTGTGAAGGATAAAATGCCGCTTTGGACGGGCCACTTCAACGTGTGTTTATAAATTCACCTGCTCGTGTGGAGCTAGTTATATTGGCCATACAGCTTGACGCACACTTCCCAAATGCATCTCTGAACATGACATGGTTAGCAAAAGGAAAATGCAAGACAATTACTAGTTCAATTCTCGAGCAATTCGTGAACTCAAGCCGCACAGCTCCACCAGAGTCATCTTTCAAGATCATCTGTAAAGTGAGGCTAAATGGTACAAAGGGAGTCAGGTTTCGGCTTTTGTGTATGGCGGAGGAGCTTGCTGGCAATTTATCAATACAACCCTGAACTCTGTATACAGAAAATGTTTGTCCAGTCTCTTATTCTACCTTGGTCTTAACCGCTTCACTAATCGTTTCTGTAAAATATTTTTGATTTTTTCTTTTGTTTTCAATTTTAGTTTACTTTCGCTTTAATAATTGATTCACTATTATCAATTTCATATGCTCCTTTCGTATATTTTCACACCCTCTTCCCACGTGTTAAATTGATACTCAACTACCACCTTTATTCTCACTCGCTCAATAGCAATTTTAGCCTTATCAAATTTATATCTTTGTGCCGTTGAATACCACGTAATTTACAACTTTCAATTATTTACTTCTAAAGCCACTTCTGAGTAATTATATCAATTCTGTCACCCTCTATTATTCAATAATAGACCGCTATATATTCTTAGGTAAGTATAGATACGACTATACAGCCTCTGAAATTGATTTTGTCAATAAAGAAGCATTTTCTTCGCTGACTTTGTCTTTGATTTTCTTCATGACTCAATGGGTATTCTCGGTGATTTACATATATATATATATATATATATGTATATATTATTACTGTATGGATATATTAATCGACTGATTTTTGGTTTAAATTGTACTCTGTGCAAGTATGTCAAAGTAGTTTTTGTGGATATATTTAATAATGTCTTTGGACTGTAAGCAGCTGACGAGAAGGCAACGAAATAAACAATAAAGGTATGACTTTATTCTGCAAAAAAACTGTAGTGCTTGCTTTGTTCAAATTCATTAGGAGGAATAAATGTATGAAAGATGAAACAACTATGCATTACTGTCTGATTTCCAGCGGTTCTCTAACTGAACCCACTTCACCACGAAACTTAGCATATATTTATACTGAGTCGGAGCAGAAGATTCAGAGTGATAGAGTCACACCTTTAGATACAAGTAAAATGTGACGTTCAGCTGAAGGTTTCGTTGGAAAAGAATACACTTCGAAGACAGTATATCTGTCACCTGACTATAGAAAGATATCAAGAGTTAGGAAATCCTGAATACTTCCTGAATACATTTATTCCCGTTTATAAATTCAAATGAGGTAGGAAGAAAAGTGGTTTGTGCAGAATTAGAAATGGCATCATTACCGTTATTTCGTTGATTTCTCATCAACTGCCTAAAGCCTAAAGAAATTAACGACTTTATGCACAGAACAGTTTTACCGTACTTGCAAATGTTACATGATATTGGTTGATTTGGGGGCGCCAAAGTTAGCGAACAGTGCTCAGAAAATTAGACTTGCATATTCAAATGTTGGTCTATTGAGATTTGATTGCTTTCAGGATTTCCTTATGAACTAACATCGGTTAGAGGACCACCATTGGAAAACTAGCTGAAGGTACTGGACAGCTGTTTCGTCTTAGGTTCGAAATTTAGTCGGTGCTTAATGATGAAGAGTCCCAAACTAGACTGACGAAACAGTTGTCCGATCCTCACATCTGGTTTTCAATTGGTCCTCTAACCGATGTC